TATTCATTTAAATGTTATATCGTTTTATTTTAAACCAATACTTAGAAGTTTATTCCGTACTTAATTTATAGCAACTTTTGTCTTATTTTTGATTTTGTTTTTTTATAATACATATTCATATTAATGTTTAGTTCATAATTATACAGTTGTTTAAAGTATTTCCAGGACTTCTATTTTCACAATTTTTAACCCAATCGAAACGCATGGCTATTACCTATACCTAAATAGGTACTTGCTAAAAGTTCTGCTTTCCAAATCTCCCATCCCTTTTTGGTTTCTCCAGATTTTTTTAGGCACGCACCGCAAATATGATAAAATTTTCAAGATTGCTTTATTGCAATTAAATAGGTAATCGTTTAGATTAAACTAAATAATATTAAAATGGGAATAATACTAAAAAAATAGTGCAATTTTATCGATAAATTTATCAATTTTTAATGTCGATATTTACATAAATCATCTTTATTTTCCATTAAATCGGATACTTTATTATCTGCTGAAAATCACTATTTATTATCTTTTGTTTCGCTATTTTTCTTACACTCCTTTCCAGTCAACCGGCCTTTCTAAAATAACCCGTCAAGTAAAAATCATTAAATTTAAATACAAAGTCTAAGGCATCAGTTATGTAAATTATAGATAGGTAGGCTAGATAGATTTCTTTTTGGTACAGAAAAATTGTCATTATTTATCCAGTTCCAGATTAAAACTATCTAAGAAGATATCTTGTTTACAAGATAGGTATAAGAATGAGGAAAAAGTAATCCGTATATACCTACCCTGAAAAAAAAGTTGTAATAACTAGGTGAAACTAAGCAATAACAAACCTAAAAATATATAACTAAGCATTTAGGTATATATACACTGTCGGTCACTGAATATCTTCCAACACGAGAGGCACAAGTGCATCTGAAAACTACAGAGTGTTGACATTGGAGTGAACGGGAAACCTAATGTGTTCAGCGTTGGCATTTATACGGCCCGACCGCGTTGTAACGTTGATCAGGTCGTATATGCTGGCATCGCTGATATTGTTCTTTCCTGCTTGCTCTAATGCTGGCTCCCTGTAGTATTCACACACACTTTTACCAAGGGGTATTGGAAGGTGCTCGTTGGCCGATGCTCTAGAATATTTAGAATGCTCTTAGAAATGAATGAGAATATGAGACAAATGAATGATAATAGTAGAAAAATGGATTAAAGTAGACAACTAATAAAAGGATTGAAGAGGAATATGAATGAAAAAAGTAGGAAAATTAATAAGAAAATAGATAAATTAGAAGAGATCGGAAATGATGATAACAAGAAATGATTGATATAATTGGAAAAGATAAGAAAAAAATAGGAAACAAGATAAAGAATAAATAATTAAGAGAATAGTCAAAATTATAGAAATAAGTAGTGAAGATGCAAAGAAAATTAAAGAAGGAAGATGTAAAGTAAATGGAAAAATTGATGAAAGTTTAAAATTAAATAAAGAAGAAATAGATATAGAACTAAAGGAAGTTGAAATAAACATGGAAATTGAAATAGAAGAGATAAAAATAGAAATTGAAGAAAAGAAAGTAATGAAGAAATACTGGTTCAAAATGTTAAAAAATAAAAGTAAATACAAACAAAAGAAAATTATTCATTGAAAATTAAAGAAAATGAGAAAAAAGTAGAAAAATATTTTTAAAAAATCAGAAAACGAAGAGGAAAATATAAAACAAGATAAAGAAGAAAATGAATCGTATAGAATTGGAAATAAGAAAGTCAAAGCGATTGCAAAGGACTTTTGGAAAAATAAAAGTAAAATTAGAATCAATTTAAAACAGGATGAGAGAAAAATTAGAATAAGTAGTATCTAAATAGAAATAATAGCAAAAGAAATAAAATAATATTTTCAGAATCAGTAGGTAAATGATGTTTTTAAAAATAAGCTACAATTGGATGCGATACGAATTATCAAAGGACTTTTGACCAAGTTAATCATGACATATTATTAAAGAAATTACATTTGTTTTATCAGTCAATCAATTAAATTTAATTAAAAAATATCTTGAAAATCTATATTTTGTCGTTAAACATAATGGAAACACCTCGGGTAAGCATCATGTAAATTTTAGAGTTCAACAAGGTTCTAGTATGGGTCCTTTACTTTTTATTTTGTTTATAAACGATCTACCATTGATTATGTTTCATATTTGGAATATCTACTATTTGCAAATAATTTTAAAATATTTAGAGAGGTTCAAACAGTTAGAAATTGCATATTATTTCAGAAGGATTTACCTATTCAACAATTGTACACGGAAAAAAATGTGACTAGAAAATTTTACTACAATGTTGTAGTAGTAGACTTGTAGAAAAATACTTAACAATTTGTAGAAAATTTTACTACAATTTATAGTTAAAAACTATTAATTATTGTAGCAACTGAATTGTCGAATAAAATGCTACAACAATAGGAAAGAAGTCCACAATGTTTAGTATATTTTACTATTGTTTGTAGAAGTATACATTTATTACAATTATCGTAATTACTACTACTAACTTCTGTAAAAATTTGTACAAATATTAATAATTATCTCTACAAAAAATAGTAATTTTCTCTACAAAAAATAGTAATACTTTACATCCCTTCTTATAATAAACATTCAATTTTGTTGAAAAATATTCTACAATATTGTAGAAATTCTTAGTCATGTGAACAAAACAAAATTCTGCTATTGGCCAACGTTTTCTGACGTCGATCATAAACGGCCAGACAGCAGTAGCCGTTCGCCATGTTCACATAACAAAGCATGGTACATATACGAGTACCTATAACACATTATTATATTACAAGCACCGATGCGTTTGAGAAAATTTTAATAATAAATTCTATTGGTGGTAAGTACATTTAACATTGTTTCTGAATAATTTACCTTTAGATAACTAATTTAAATAACCTTAGTAGATTATTTAAAAAAAATAGTTGTGGCCAACGATCGAATGTTGTGCCCAACGATCGAATTTTGTGCCAAGTTCAATGATATTTTTTTGTCTTAATTGTGACATACCTACTTTCTCATTTTTGTTAGTTATCTGACTTAGTCATTTAATATCCAAATCAGTGTAAAGGTGATAAATATCCCCGTTTTAAGGGTATGAACAGTTCAATTGGTATTAATTTTTATTTCATATTTTTCAGGTGCAGAAAAGCCAACTGAGACTGAGGGCGCTATTATTACTGTTATTTATTACATAATGTAATTAAGAATTTGTATCTTTTATATTAAAACAATAAATTGAATATTTTATTAAGGAACATTTTTTTCTAGGTTATAATTATAATAATTATGGAATACTACTACAAATTTTATTAAAAATTACTACAATTTGTATGAATTTTTACTATTTATTGTGTAAAATTTTCGTATTTATTTTCATAAAACGCAATACATTTTTAATATAAATTCATACAATGAATAGCAAAAATTATAACAATTTGTAGAACAATTCTTATGATGCATTTGGATATTTTTACTAAATATTGTAGATAATAACTCTACAATACATTCTCCACAAATATTTGGAAATTTTTACTACAAATTGTCCCTGTCCCTATATGTACTATTTATTGTAGAGAAAAAATCTACAATTGTAGAAATTTGTTCTACAATTTTTTTTCGGTGTAATTGGAGTTTTAATATATAATGTCTATTTTTGGAAAAAAAAATAGAGCCCAATAGTTTTTGATTATAAAATTAATCAAGTAAATTTAAGTTCTACTGAGAACGAAGATTTTGATATTATTTGTAACAATGAAATTTGGAGCTGTGTTTTGGTCAGATCAACCTCAAGTATGTTTCATATTTGGAATATCTACTATTTGCAAATAATTTTAAAATATTTAGAGAGGTTCAAACAGTTAGAAATTGCATATTATTTCAGAAGGATTTACCTATTCAACAATTGTAATTGGAGTTTTAATATATAATGTCTATTTTTGGAAAAAAAAAATAGAGCCCAATAGTTTTTGATTATAAAATTAATCAAGTAAATTTAAGTTCTACTGAGAACGAAGATTTTGATATTATTTGTAACAATGAAATTTGGAGCTGTGTTTTGGTCAGATCAACCTCAAGTATGTAGGTATACTTAGAAACTATTGAAAAGGTACAAAATAAATATTTTCAATATATATTTTCTTTTTTTTTTTTCAATTATCGTTAGTTACCTTTATGTTATTTCCTTAACCAGTAGGCGTAAATTAATCAGGATAATTTTTTTATATAAAACAATTAATTAGTAGAATTTATATCTTGTAATTTGTTGAAAATAATAGATACCATTCAATGATTCTTCCACAACTAATCTTCCACTATTCTTTGGAAATATTAGATCTTTTGTATGTTCTCCATATGTTCAAATAACATAAATAATTTTATTGACACATTAAATAAAAAAAAAATTATATTTTTAGACATAGTAAATTATAGGTAGTGTAGGTTTAACAACAACGTGTTGTCTTTGGTAAGTAGGTATGTACTTTTATAATTTATTAGGAATTTTATATTTTAATTTGAATGTAATGGTATGATAGGTACACATGTGACTATGCTTATATTAAATTTGTTAAAAAAATATTCCAGTAGGACTCTCATTACACGATTTAGATATAGAGAAAATTCAATTTGTTTAAAAATTCCTCGAAAGAATGCACTCTGTTTATGTGTGTATATTTTGGTAAATCATTTATAAATATAAGAAATATCAATGGTCCCCATACGGATCCCTGTGGATTACTTTCATTTCAACGAGCTTCATTCGCCTTGACAATAATTGTTTTCTTAAATATGACATTAACCAACTAAACATACATTTTCTCGAAACCCCAAAGATATAGTTTAGTTTCCACAATATTTTTCCATGGTTTTGTAGGTATATGTATATACCTAAGACGGTACTTAGATATCGTTGTGTATTAGGTTTTAAAACTTATGAGGGTATTAAATAACCAAATCCGATTCTCATTAAAGATGTAATAACGTGTAGTGTCTTTGAATGTCCAATACGATTTGTAAAAAATATACATAAATACCTGAACTAGGTCTGTCGCTATATCTTGTGCAGTAAACCCACGCCGGCCACAAAATCGGCTGCTTTTCGTCCTTCTTCTCCTTTTCTTCGTTTTTCCTCAAGTCCACCGGTCCCGGCACTTTACATTCATCAGGAACTACGCGTTTAGGAACAGTCTTTTTAATGTGCAACGGATCTGTTATCCTCCTACCGAAATCCGCCTTTAAAATATTGTCTATAGAGAACTTCAACCGAGGATTATCCTCGTCCGAGGCGTTTTTGAGGTTGATTTGGTTATAAAAACTTCCAGGACTTACACTTTTGTTCGATTTCGGACTAGATTCGGGACTCGCACTCGCAGAAATTTGTGAAATCGCGTTTAAATGGTTCTCTATGTTCTTAAAACTCAGCGGTTCCTTTTCGGCACCCTGTATAGGGTTCTCGTTACCCACTGACAAAACCGTATCGTCACTACAACAACTTACGGCGTCCATATTGACAGAGTCTCTATCGAAATTATCACTGGAGTCCATGGAAATTGACCCGTCGGTGCTTTCCATTGTTTGTCTGACGGGAAAATGCAGCCTGTGTGTAGCTATAGCCGCCATTTTAAACCACCCCGTCACATATTACACTAGATTGTCACAGAAACTGTCAAAATTACTGTCAAACCGCAAGACACTCACTCTGCTTAGCTGATCTTAACTCCACGGCACTCTCTAACTATCTGACGTCGGGGAACTGCTTTGAGGCGGGGTTAAAAAGTTAAAGGCGGGGTCGGTGGGCGTGTCTAAAATGCATGGCCGAATCAGTATGAAGAAAACGCTGTTTCTTCTTTTATAGAGGATTACTGGATACTTTCTACGTATGAGCGTTGATGTCTTGTTTTCGGGATTATCGGTAGTGATCCAGAGACAAAGTTAGTTTGGTTTGAAGAACGACTGATTGACATGTCTTTTGTTAAATGTTTTAGATGGTACTTGGGAATACATGAATAATGATTTCGATGTCTAGTTGTACGTTTAATAAATAATTCGTATTTGGTTATGTTTGGATTCTGTTGAGTTAGTGGAATCGTTGTGCTTTGGAAGCCGACGGAAGTTGGAATTGTCTATTTTATGAGTTTAACTTAGTTAACGCTCTTATTTTTTATAGATAGATAGGTACGCTATAAGGCAACTTTTAAATTAGGAACCACTCAACAAATTAAATGCACTCCATTAAAAAACTAAGTTTTGTTAATACACTAAAAACACTAAATTGAGAAATTACAGCAAAAATCATTTATTATTTGTGGCCATTGATTTTGACTGCAATTTTAAAGTCGCTTTGAATTTATATTTGTCCTGAATTATTGTAAAATGGCATTGACGACTGCAAAAACGCATTAGTTACTTTAAAATTAAAAATGAACTTGCGTAATATTAATTTTACAGTAAAAACTATGCATTTTCCCACGTGCAAGTAGTTGTTTAATGTAACATTAGGTACAACTTACAACTCTATGTGTAATATAACATTCTACATTTTTTGACAAGTTTGTGCTTTTAACTTGTGTTTTAGTTAAGATTTAGATATTACCATGTAATTAATTTTATTATAATTATAGTAAATATTTTCTAATGCAAATAGGCCTTTATTATTTTGTGTCATAATAAAATATTACATTTTATTTTATTAATTAAATTTGTAAGAATCTTGAAATCGGAATTTTCGTAGATACCTCTTGTCTTAGCAAGGCAGAAGTCGTCCAAAAAGTCGTCATCCAGCATCATACATTTTTTTTACTTCTATTCCAGTTTGTTTTGTGTTCTTATGATTATAAATTTACTTATATGCTTATAATATAATACATAACAAGAAGTGAACTAAATATAGTTACTTCTAAATATTGGTATCAGGTCGCTGAGGCCCCATTCATCGAATAAATCTTCCATTTAAATTTAATTTATTCATACACTTATTAATTGAATCACAAAGAATTTCTAACAAAAAGTAAAACGCAACCCTAACGATACGACACAAACATGTTAGAAAATGGACAATATAGGATGAACACGTGCTAATGCCAATTTACCATTTTCTGTATAAATGCGTTGTGTCTCTGACTTCCGAATAATAAGTATCACATCTCAACATGTACCAGTCATATATCTACCGTACCAGTGCGGCAGTTGCATTTTAAAATAAGTTTCAGCTTGAAACACTGTGCATTGAATTTGTACTCGCTAATCTTTTGTGAAGTACATAGGTTTTTGATTCGAATTGTTTAATTCTTGTTCTGAAATTTATATGCTTTGAATAAAATCCTTTTATAACATTGAATCAAGTACGCAATAATCGATTTTAAGAGCATATCATACTTACAATAAACTTAAGAGCTTTCTCGGATTAATTCACAATTCTAGACTGGAATGAAATAATTTATTCTCAAATTAATTATTATTAATATTAAAATACAAGATTATGCCTACACTTCACTCATCATTTATTTTCTTATTGTATCGAGAAATATTATTTGAACAAACTCTGCTTTGTTTCAAACAAATGTATATAATCTTCCAAGTGTAAAGCTTTTCTTGAATGGAGATGATAATATTTTTTTCTGTGTATACCTTATTTATTATTTATTCGATGATAGTTATTCGCTCTGTGCGTGACAACAGTGCCAATTCATTTAGGTACTAATGGACTATTTCTGCGTATACTGATAATACAATTTGTAATAGAATTCGTAATTAAAAAGTATATATGTTAGTTTTAATAAAAGTATATGGATTTGTAGAACAAGTAAAACATTAATGTATTATTATTATATATTTTTATTGCTTAAATTAAAAAAAATTAAGTATAATCAATAAAAACAATAATAAAATATAGGCAGGCAACAGTTTTTATGAAAAATGGATGAGAAGTTGCCTAAGTCTAATAGGTTGTCTTTGAAGAATTAACCTATTCTGTCAAAATAAAAAAATACCATTAAATAATAGCATGAAGTTAAAATATATAAACAGAAGGATTGTTTTTTATATTTTTATTTTTATTCGAAAGAAAACAGACTGAATGATTAAAAATGGTTTCCCATCAGTAAGTCACAAAATTGCATATCAGCCACATACAATAATCAAATCAAAGGCAGATATCTTGAAATCTAGCCCTTGCTGAACATTTAAGAACAAAGGGATGTTGAAGAAATCGTAAAATGAGAATATATGGTTTATTTAAAACCTGATATCTACTATTTCCAGTACTACTGTTATTATTAGAAAAATAAAAGTAATTTTTGTTCTTATTGTATACACCTATCCATTTATTTCTTTGATTTAATTTCCACTTTGCTAATAAAAATTTTTACTGTTTTTTTTTGCTAGTATTTTTACAATTTTCAACACAGCAAATCCGGTTGCTTATTGTATTGTTTTACCTACTTTTTGAAAAAAGTGTATTAGATATGCCAAAATTGTAGATGTTATTTTTCTGAAATCAGCATTACCTATATGTATGTATAATTGGAGTTGTATGTATTTTACGAGGTATTGAAAATTCACAAAATATTTGTAAATTAACTTATATTTTATATTTTTATTCTTATTGTAAAACTCCTTCATTAATTAATTATAGCAATTATGTGATTTTACAGAATTGTTTTTAGATTATAAATGTGAAGCAAACAAATCATTTGAGTCCACTTATATCTTTGTATAAAAACACTCTTATCATTTAAAATTACAAGGAAATGCGACTACTTTCATCTATATAATTTCACATAATTTTTGTAAATTTACAAGACTGGAACGTACCAGAATAATTGTAAACCTACAAGAGATTTGTGAATTAATTCTAAATCTGTAAACATATTATAAGTTCTGTGTTTTAAATTTTGTATTTTTACTCTTAAACAGTGGCGGCTCAAGGTAATTTAAAAAGGGTGTTCACTTTTTTCCAATAATTTTATCGTTTGTAAGTTTGGTTCAAAACTTTGTGCAAGCGCAATATCGCTGTTTTTTTTTATTTGGGTTTATATTAAGTGTAGTTATTATTATCATCAATATCATACTGATTGCAAGCACTACAACTATTAATGAATATTTAGTTATTGTAAATATTTGTCTTGTTTTTAATACGTTGAAAACCATTTATAAACATTATTAGTTATATTTAGCTGACTTTCCTTTATATTTTGAAATTATTTTTAAATATATATCAGGTTAGTAAATTTAATTATTTTTACAATTTATCACGCATGTCAAATAAAATAATATATTTTTTAAATACCTTTTATTGGCAAATAAACCAAGTGAACTAAAATGTTTATTTTATAAGATCAGTCCCATCACAATATAACATTACCCAGATACCTACAAACTAGAATGAAGATGCCTATATAATGCATGGCATTCTAAATTATACTCTTCACAGTTCAGCAAACACCCCCTTAACTCCCATTTTCACTCAATTTTTTTCAGAATCAATAGGCTTCATCCTCTTATTGATTGTTTTTATCCAAAAATAATTTCAAGTTGATATTATTCGTTTTTAAATTAGAATTTTTTTAAATATTTCAACTTCTTTTAACTCCCCACTTTCATTCAAATTTTTTCTCAATAAACCCCTATTTTTATTCAGATTTTTTTTTTTTTTTTTCAAAATTAAAGAGCTTCTTCTTATAGAACTTGATGTTTGCTAAAAATTTTATGCCGTTATCGTTTTTTGTTTTTCGTTATTAATTTAGGATTTTATTTTTTAATAACAACCCATCTTAACCCCCTATTTTTAATCAGATTTTTTTTCAAAATCAATACCCTTATAGAGCTTGTTTTCTGCTTAAAATTTTCAAGTTGATATAATTTTTCGGTTTTGACTTATCGTGCAGATAAAAAACGTGACATCGGACAAAGTAAATCTATACCTACTACTCTTCACAGACTACTGTGTGAAGAGTATAATAATATAATCAAGGCTAAAATAATAACAATAGATTAAAAAAATAGGTACAATAAAAATATGATAAAGTCAGAGTTTTGAAAATTATTTAATAGGTATATCAGTACCTCGGAGATAAACTGCGCTGTCATTTTAGTCAACTTTTTAGTAGAGCAGACTGAATGTTTGTTTGACACTTTTCGTGTTCTATATTTACATATAATAATTATATTTCGACAAGAAATGCAGTTAGCTTCAAATATTGTCACAATGTGTATTGTTTACTAATATCTAACTATTAAAACTATTTTTCTTTATTATACATTTGTTTGGTTTTTGTAACATATTTCTATGTTCTGATAACACATTTTCTATGACATAGTGTCGCCATACACCTCCAACATGCCTCTATAAATAGTACGACTAACGTGAAAGTTAAAAAATGCTTGTGTTATCTTTTTTTAAGTCAATTTTTATTGTGGCATCACTATACATGGTATAGAATACCCCTGAAAAGGTCTCGATGAGCCGATTTTAAAAATATTAGTAACCTTTATTAAACTGCACTCGACATAGTTCAGTTTAATACCTCCCAAGTAGAAATCGGTAAATATTTAATTTAGTCTTCATGATACCTAAAACGGACACAACTATTAAGTTTCTTGAATTAATTTGTGCCAGTGCA